TTTTTTTTTTATATTTTAGTCTAATTAATTTATTGCTTAAACAGGCTATGGATCTTGTGTCTATCCATCGTCTCCAAGGTACGTCTTTTTCTCTTTCCCCGGTCTTACCCATTCAGCACTTACTTTTGCTCATTTTTCTGAGGTTCATGTTGCTTTTTCAAAAGCTGCTTCTCTGTCTGATTCTTTTTAAAATAAAGAAAAAAATGATAATAAAAGAAAAACAGAAATGATTCCCATGTCCAGCTAGGAAGGTTGGTTATCCATTGCTGCTGATGTTATGTGGTCAGCTCAAATTCTGTTCAATTTTATCTTCTACTATTTGTAGAGTGAGTCCCACAAAAAATTGAGTAGTCTGGTCTACTTCAAATGGATCATGTAGAAATACAATGAGTATTTTATTTACTTTGACTCCAGTAACACTGAAGATATGATATGACTACATTAGGATGACAATCAAACGGAAATAAGAAACCCAAGCTTTTCTAATAATAATCTAAATCTTTGGCCTCTTGTAGATGAAGATTTATTTATGGGTATACAGTACTGTAATTTTTCTCGAGTTTAATATATATCAAGTAAATTAGTAAATGACATTAGTCAAGTTGCTCTACGTGGGAGTTTAAATTACCTAATGCATGTCATTTTTGCTGTTAATTAAGTAGCCAGCCCTTCCCTCTCTATCAAAGAAAAATATATAGAGGTCATATCAGTATGGTTGATAAGTGGGTACAGAGTACAAATTAAGATAACATCAGCTAGCTATATTACACTTGTTACTTCAATGAAATCGTTCCTACGGGCTTTATTTCTAACAAACCCTCTGGATTATGATGCCACAACATGGAAATTAAGGAATTCTAGTTGTAATTCTCAATATAGATCCAAGAAATCACATCGTGTATATATAATACCCATCATTGTTCTAGAAACCGTCAAGTGCCTGCTAGATGCCTGTAACACCCCGCCTTGACATGAAAATCAGAGTGCGCTTTTCGCAAAGTTTCTCAAAATAAAAATATTTTACATTGCGAAATACTGAGTCGGAGTGCTACTAAAATACATAACTGACTGATAAATCTGAACTTTTGGTTTACAAAAGTTAAATAATACATGACTGACTCAAAATTAGACAAATTCACTGTTTGATGAACTGATA